CATTTCCATCAGCCAGAATGGAGGGTGTGAGGGGGCATGTCCATCCCTTCTCAGGGCATTAGGCTAAGTCACAGGTCACTTTGCTCTGACAGAAGGGACCTAAAACCTAGCGGCTGGAAGAAGGTAGAAGGTCACTCAGGTCACAGTGTAGCAGTGTGTGTGAACAGGGCCAATCAGATAAAGTGATCCACAAAGTTATCCTTGGACCCAGACACCTTCCATCTGTGGCTTCTGGGTCCCCTTTTCTGGTGGCAGAAGCTAACCACCTCAACCCTCCTGGCCCGCAGGCATGGAGTGCACCCGGCTTCCTTTTACAGAGTGACCCAAAAGAGGAACAGAGTGCTCCTGCCCACATCCCATTGGCTAGAACCTAGTCACGTGGCCCCTCTACTGCAAGGGAAGCTGGGAAATGTCATCTTTAGCTGGCTGGCCTCGTACCCAGCAACATCATGGGATTTCTATTACTAAGTGGAAACAAGGGAAAGTTGATTTGGGGGGACAACTAGTCTTGTCTGCCACAGGGCTCCACTAGACGTCCAAGACATTAACTTCCATGCACTCACCTTGGCCTGGACTTGGTCACATGGCCATGCCTGGCTGCAAAGGAGCCTGGGAAATGTAGTACTTCACCTGGGCAGCCATGTTCCCAGGTAAACATGGGGGATTCTACTACCATGCATAAAAGAGATTACAGATATCATAGGGGCAGCCTCTGTCCCTATTCTTAGAACCTCTGTTCATCCAGTGAGGTAAGAGGCAAGGTCAACGGTAGAGAGTGAGGGAGATAAAAGCGGCAGGGGAGATTTCTCACAAGATGTGAAATTGATCCCATCCTCTCGGGAGGCCGAGGCAGGAGGATCATGAGTTCAAAGCCAGCCTCAGCAACTTAACGAGGCCCTAAGCAACCCAGTGAGCCCCTGTCTCTAAATAAAACACAAAACAGGGCTGGGAATGTGGCTCAGCAGTGATTGAGTGCCCCTGATTTCAATCCCTGATACCCTCCATCCCCCCCCCACAAAAAAAATGTGAAATTGCTGAGTCGGGGAGCAGGGCCACGGGCCATGGGAGAGCTGTGGGCGAGTCTGAGGCTTGAGCCTGTGGATTGTAAGTGGAACTTGTTTGCCAAGTTGAATGACTTTTCTCGGCACCATTCACAGCCCACGTGCAAACAGAGAAGACAGGTGTGTAAGTTAACCAGGACCGCTGCTGCGAGGGGACAGGAGGATGCTTGCGAGGGAGGGACGGCAAGGTGAGGTGTGGAGTCCAGGCTGGACAGAAAGGAAGGCCAAGGCAGGAAGAGGTCCAGGCAAAGGGGTGTGGCCAGGCTTTGGTGTTTAGAGGTCAGGGTCTCAGGGAGGTGGGGGCGTGTGGCCCTGGGTAGCTCTGGAGCAGGCGTGGAGACCTCAGGGCCTGCTGACCAGGAAGTGCATGTTTGTGATAAACCTTGAAAAAGAGTCACCTTTGCAGCGATTGTGACAGGGTGGAGGAGGAGGGACCCGGGCTGCCAAGTCCAGCCAGCCTAGGAGGGCCAGGAGAGGAGAGCGTGAGTCACCCACTGCCTCTGCCCTGCTCCCTCTCGGGCACCGCAGGCACGTACCTACACCCCACCCAGGGCTGATGACCTCAGGTGCCAAGGCTTTGGCTGCACCTCCTGTCCCCTCTCGGGTCCCCCCTCTCCCCTGCCCTTCAGAAGGGGCAGAAAAGTGGCAGCCGTGTCTACACCGCCGTTTCCTCTCCTGGAGGAAGCCACCCTTCCCAATGCCACCATCCACTTCTTCCTCCCAGGACACTGGCTGCCAGGCTCCCTTGTCAATGTCCCTCTCTATGGGGCTCCAACGTTCCAGGCCACCTCTGTGTCTCTTGGTGCTATGACCTCCCTGGCATCTCACCTCCAGGCTGAGCTGACCTGTGAGCGGCAGGGGACCCAGACAGTGCTGGGAAGGGCTGGAGGGCCACAAACACCGTGTAACCATGTCAACCCCATCGTATCCTTGGGTTCAAAGGAAAAGCCCTGGGCCGGGCCGTGTTTGAACCCACTTCCTGGCTCCCTTTTGGACACACAGGCCACAGGCTCAGGTCTGAGGGCCAAGCTTAGAGAGAGCTATGAGACAAGGTCGCTGTCGATCTAATGGTGTCTTCCTGTGTCCGAAGTGATCACTGCTTTCTGGGTTCTGATTTGGACCTGAGGTGTCCCAGGAAGGTCCCGTGTTAGTGCAGGGACTTCTGGTTAGGAGCGCTGTGGCCTGGTCACTCCCTCCTAGTTGGGTGGGCTACCTGGATGGCAGCTGGATGGCAGGAGGGGATGGGTCACCGGGACCTGCCCTGGAAGGCTGCGTCTCCCCTGGGCCCCTCTGGCTCCCTGCTTCCTGGCCAGCGGAGGGGAGCAGAGCTGCTCCGGGCCCTTCCACCACGACGCCCGGCCTTACTTGGGTCCGGAGCCATGGAGTCGCACACTGTGGACGGAACCCCTGAAACTGTGAGCCCCAAATGAACGTCTTCTCCTCTAAGATGTTCCTGGTGGGATTTTCCTCACAGCAGTGAACAGCTGGCGACAGCAGCCAGCCCCTGAGAGCAGGAAGCCAGATCCCGTCGGAGCAAACCCTGCTGGCTGTCCGTCTCCGTCACTGCACCCTACTGTCTCCTCGTCCTTCCTCCCTCAGCCAAGCTCAGCCTCCTGGGGTCGAGACCCACCAGGAGAGAGGGGTGGTGTCCCCCGCTGCAGGGCTGTGCTAGGAAGCCCTCCTCCTCCCGGCAGCCCCAGGATCACTGCTAAGCCCTGGTCTCACACAGCCCTTCTGTAACGTGGGCGCATCGCCTAGAACCTTCCGGTTATTTGCCAAATCGTGCTACATAGATTACACACAGCACACGGGCTGCTTTTTGTTTGTTCGTTCTTAGACTTACTTTCCACTTGGTGTATTTTAAAGCCAATGATCTTGATTTATTTTCCCCTCAGATGCATGTTACACCCAGGCAGTTCTAGACCCTGGGGACAAAGCAGTGACAAGATGAGGTCCCTTTCCTCAGGGAGCTGACATTCTGGTGACATTATCAAGGAGAAAGGAGGGAGAGGATAAAAGGGAGTAAGGACAGACAGAGGGACGCACGGAGGAGGGAAGGAGGAGGAGACAGGTGGTGGACAGGGCCACTAGTGATGGGGACGAGAAAAGAGGAAGGGCCCTGAGAGATGGGGCGGCCAGAGGCAGCCTCTCATACATTTCGGCAGGAGAAGCCAGGGTGGCGGGGCAGCCTTCTCGAAGAGGTGCATCTCAGCAGGATGTGCATGAAGGACCAGCGTGAGCCGTGGAGAGATCCGAGGAAGGGCATCCTCGGCACACAGCACCGGATGTGCAAAGGTGGCCCCGCAGCTCTCAGCTCCGAAAAATCCACAAAACGCTGAATCCCACCCTGACCTGGGATGCAGATCCGCGCCCAGGGCCAGCATGAGCACCCGAGGGGACAGGAGCAACGCAGAACCAGGAAGAATCTCCCCTCTACCTCTCCCTCAGCCTCTCCCTCAGCCTCTGCCCTCCTCCCTCCCCTCCATCCCTATCAGACACGTTAACAGTAACCCGTAGCCAAGTAATTAGGAGGTGATGAGTTTTGAATATCAGTGACTTTGCTTTGTAATATGATTTGCTTATAAGTTCAAATAATTTCAATCATCATTTTTAATAACACAATATTTTCTCATTTGTTTTATTTTTACAAATGACCAGTTTGAAAAACTCTTTGACAATTTAACAAAATGTTGTTAAAAGTGAACAAACCAGATGTGGCTCAGCACTGAATCTGAGGGAAACATCTAGAAACAGAGAAGAAAGGACAACTGGTGGGGCGCGTGCACCCATGCACAGTGTGGAGACCCGCACCTCTGGTCTCCTTCGTGCCCTGCCCCCCAGATCTGGGAGCTCTGTCCAGTCAGTCCCTCCCTAAGTGACCTCTGGCCCCGGCTACCTGCTCATCTCATCTGACCTGCCCCTGAAACCTGGCCCTTGACAACATGCCCAAGGGGGGCCCTGGCGCACAGAAGTTCCCCAGGCCGGGTTAGATGAATGGGACCCGCTGGAGATCCTTCTCAGGGGGACCGGGTTAAATATACCCCCAGGGGCACAACTGCCCCATTTCACAGATGAGGAAACGAGGCTTGAGGGAGTTGTTACTTAAGGTCAACAGCTGCCCAAGCAGAGGCCACACCCACTGACATCCAGGTCTGTGGGCCCCCACCCTGTCCTTCTGGAGCCCCTCCTGCACCACCCTGGAATGGCCCCAGGCTGGCTCTTGGATTTCGGGGTGCACAGCTGTGGAACCCTGTCTACCGTCTGCTGAGTGGAACCCACGTTCCCCAGAACCCCGGCTAATTGAGGGCAGAGCCCAGGCTTCGAGTCTGATGGGCTCTTAGAACCCAGCCCACTGGGGTCAGGAGAGATTTTAAATCAACAGGTCCAGGCCTCCCATTGCACATGTGGGGAAACTGAGGCCCGCGGTCGTGATAGTGTCACTAGAACCAGGACCAGGACAAGACTCAGGCCTCCTATAAAGTAAGCAGAGTTGTGGGTGAATGATGAATACCCAGGGCCAGTGGGGCGGAGACATGGGCGCCCAGGGGCAGCGTCCCCTCCCCCGGCTCCCAGGCAGATGGGAAGAGAGCAGAGGTTGGGGTCTCCTCAACGGGACTTAGGGGCGATTCCAGGAAACACTTCCACCAGGATCTGCAGCCTAGAGATCATCTGAGAAGGCCCAGAGTGCAACCAGACTCCCAAAACACCCTCATGGCAAATAGTGTAGACGTGGGCCGAGTCGGAGGGGAAACTGAGGCCCTCCAGGTGGTACACTCAAAACGAGCAGTTTGGGGTTCTCAGACTTTCATCTCTCTCCACTCAGCAGACATGGCCTCCTCTGGGGCAGGGGTGGCTCTCAAGGACACCTGGGGCCCAGCAGGCAGGAAGCGGAGATGGTCTCTGACATCAACGCCTCAGCATGTCCAGGCAGGGGACTCCTCAGGAGGCCACAGGGACATCCAGGCGGCTGTACTGGACACCAGCCAAGCTCTGTCTGTGGCCAAAGCACAGGGTGAGCCTGTCAGAGAGAGAGGAGAGGGTCAAAGGTGGCAGCCTGGGGTCTTCCCATCCCCTGCCTCTGCCTGCATTTCCACTTCTCTCCCCTGGACCCCCAACAGCTCCCTCCAGGTGGCCTGTGTCCACCCTGCTCCATCGCAGCCAGAGTGGCCTTTCCAAACGCAGAGCCCGGCCCTGTCCCTCCCCTCCTGGAGACCCTCCTGGAGCTTGCCTGCCAGCCAGGCCGAGTTTGCTGATGACCCGTGAAGTGCCCTGGGCTGCCCCAGGCCCTGGGAAGAGCAGTGAGGGCATCAGCAGCTGGCGACTACAGCCCTGTGCCACAGAGGGAGCAGGGAGGCGTGCCCGGCAAGCTTAGGACTGCAGTTCCCGGGGCCTCCCACCGCTCCATGTCTACCCTTCTTTAACTGAACAGCCTAAGATGGTGCTAAGGTTCTGAACTCTCCTTTATGTCCTAAAGACCTTCCTACACCTGGCTCCTCCCGGCTGGCTGATCCAGTCTTCGCTGTCCTCCCTCCCTCCCTCTGCTCCGTCCTCCCTCCCTCCCTCTGCTCCAGCCACACTGGCTTCCTGGTTCCGGCATAGGCCAGACATGCTCCCACCTCAGGGCCTTTGCACTTGCTGTTCCCTCCCGCTGGAAAGCTCCTTCCCTCATCTTACCTGGCAGCCTCCTCCTTCTACCTGAAGTCGTGCCTCCTCACACAGGTCTTCCCTCTGACCTACCACTCAGACCTAGCCAGAGCCCCTTCCTCCTCTGTCCTCCTCTCCTCCAGTCTGGCTCTGTGGCGAACATGCCTGTTCCAGTCTCTTCTAGTCACACATTGCCGGCTAAAACACTGATTGTGCCTTTGTTGGCTCACTGCTTTCTGTCCCCTCCCCCACTTAGACGCAAGCTCTAGGGGTCCAGGTTCTGGCCTTTCTTAGCCTCAGCCACGACCCCTAACACTGCCCGGCAGCCCTGAGGACCCCACAGTGTCTGCTGGATGCACGGATGAAGCCCACTGGCAGTGTTTAAAGGTCACAGTTCTATTGTGTGTTTCTCGGTGGTTCCACGACTCTAAGAGCCCGTGGTCTGAAGATCCCACTGTTCTTCGGGCGGGGGCATAGCTCAGTTGGTAGGGTGCTTGCTTTGCCTTTCCCCAGACCTGCCCGCCCACCTCGTACCGACTCTTCTGGAACTGTTGGTCTATCTCGGCCAAGGACCGGCCTTTGGTTTCAGGAACAACTAAGTAGATGAAGCCCAGGCCGAGGACAGCCGTCAGTCCGTAGAACAGGAAGGTCCAGGACAGGCCAATGGCACCTGGCAACAGAGGGTGGGTGGAAGTGGGCAGGGAGCCCAGCGCCCTGGCCCTGCGGCCTGGGCTACCTGGGTCCAGGTGAAGCTCTGAGACTCAGCTCACCCCGAGCACAGGCAGTGGGTGGTGGCTTTGCAGAGTGGCCAAGGGGCCATCAGGTTAACACCTGAAAGCAAGAATTGACTGGTGGTCTCAGAGGCAGGCTGGCCGTCCACAACGCAGCGGGGGGATGGCATGCGGGGAGAGACCACTCACTCAGGCGCTGCCCACAGAACCGGGATGCCTGCCTGCAGCAGGGCTCAGCACTCCGCCCCTCTCCTCCTGGAGCCTGGGAGGGGGCGGGTCCCAGGGTCAGTGACCAGGATAGGGACGACCTGGAGTCCCTGAGAGCCACCGGTCAGCCCCAGACAGAGAAAGCAGGCCATGAAGGACGGCACTCTGTCTAGGAGGGAGCACAAATTATGTTTGGGTGCTATCTCCTCCTCCGCCAGCCACAGCCACGCCTCCCGCAAGTGGCCTCCCTGAGGGCTGGAGCTGCTCTCCTGAGGGGGGCGCTGGGCAGGGGTCAGGAGGGCGGCTCCAGCTTCTAAGGACCAGGTGGACTTGGGAGCACAGTCCCCATCTGTGAAACGGATGGTCATAGGAGGTCACATGCCTTAAAAAGCCCCCCCCTGCCCCCCCCTCACTCATTCCATACAGAGAGCTGCCGGAGAAGAGGCGGGGGGGGCCCAGGTTCCCCTGAGATTGGGCTGGGAGACGGTCACCGTGCGTAGCTCCTGCCACCACGGAGTCCCACGGCTCCACAAGCTGGCTGTGCCTTTGGCCACGGGGAGTAGGAAAGTGAGCTTTAAGATCCGCGCCGTGGGCCCACAGTGAGGAGCTGGGCACCCCAACAGCCACAGCAGCTGGCCCCGATGGGCACGTGACGTGCTGAGCCAGTGAGGGTCGGCCCCAGGAGCTGCAGGAGCCACTAGGAAAGGCTTCCCTTCCTGGGCTGCCAAGCGAGGAGGCCTGCTGGCTGCCATCTGCACCACGAGCAGCAGCCTGCCTGGGACGAAGCCCCCAGGTGGCGGGCAGAGCCGACAGGGAGGGAAGGACAGCTGACAACAGTATCGGATCTGGGGATCAGCTCTCCCGCTTCTTTTCGGCGACTTAAGACAAATGTCTCCCTCTTGCTTATAAACTGGGCTGCATTGGGTGGTTCTCTGTCACTTACAACCAACAGCTGTGGGCGCTTTGACCCAGTCTGGTGGACACTGTCCCTGCATCTAGAAGGCACTGGGCGGAGGGATTAGGCCAGAGGACTCACCAATGAGATCGAGGAAGGAGAGGCTGACGAGGAGGTTGGTGGCCCAGTTGAAGCTGTTGCAAAAGGCAAAGGCTCTCCCTCGGACCTCCACAGGGTAGATCTCGCTGAGGACCAGCCAGGTCACTAGGACAGGAGAGCAGGAGGGCTTCTGGGCGGAGGCCGGGGCTGGCACCAGCAGCCAAGTAGGCAGCCCCCAGGGATGGACGTCAGGCTCCGGATACCAAGCACCCCACACATCTGCACCCCACACATCTGCACACCCCACACCACTGCAAGAATCGTGTTAGGGTGGCCGCGATGTCTGTTTGCCCAGGACGAGGGGTTTCCTGGACACAAGGCCTTCAGTGCTGAGATGGCGAGGTCCTGGGGGAACTGGGATGATCGGTTCCCATCCCATTCACTACGTTCCTGTCAAGTAAACCCTGCTGCCTGAGCCATCCAGGGGCAGAGCCAGGTTTTACAAGCCCTGAACTTTAATTGGAAAACCTTTGAAAAAAAAAAAAAAAAAAAAAAAAAAATATATATATATATATATATATATATATTTACCTAAAGTTAGGCCCCGGCCATGGGAGGCACAACTGCAAGCCAGGGAGGGGCCCTGACCCTTCGAGCCACCCACCTCCAGAGCCCCTGAGACTGACAGGGCCTCCCACTGGCTGCTGGGCAGCTCCAGGTTGACCTGCACAGACCCTCCACTTACCTGGGCCAAATCCGAAGGAGAAGGCGCTCACAAAGGCCATCATGCAGACCAGGGCGGCCCAGCGCAGCACCGCCTGCTGTGGGGCGGGACCAGGGGTCGCCGGGGAGGAGGTGCTCAGGGCAGGCGGGGCAGGGGTGCGGACATCTCTGCCTGCTGGACGGGTCTTGGCTTTCTTGGAGGCGGACAAGGCGGGCTCCTGTGGGTCCCCGCCGGCTCTCGGCATTGGAGGTGGAGCTGAGTCCTGTAGCAGGTCAGAGCCTCCAGGGAGGCCAGCTTGCCGGGTGGCATTGGGCAAGGCCAGGCAGCTTGGACCAGAGTCCACGGGCACAGCAAAGCTGACAAGGCCCAGGCCACTGACCGACAGGGCCATGAGGGCACAGCCGGCAAGCAGCAGGGCCCTGCGGCCCACGCGGTCCACCAGCCCCACGGCCATCAAGGTGGCCGCCACCTTCACGGCGCCGAGCCCCACGGAGGCCAGCACAGCTGAGGACCCCCCGCGGAAGCCGACCGAGCGGAAGACGGTGGAGGCGTAGCAGAGCACGTTGGGCTGCCCTGTGAGCTGCTGCAGGAGCACCAGCCCCAGCCCCACGGCGGTCCGGCCTCGCATGTTGTCCCGGGCCCTGAAGAGGTCCAGGAAGGTGTAGCGTGGCCTCTCGGGGCCCAGCTTGGTGGCCTCACCTCCCTGGAGCAGCAGGAGGTCCCTGTGAGCGGCAGCAGGGAGGAGGAGGAGGCCCAGGCTCTGCAGGACAGCGGGCGCCACGGCCCAGCCAAACATGTGCCTCCAGCCCCGGGGCGCACTGGCCAGGGCATAGTTGAGGGCGTAAGACAACAGGATGCCCACGGTGATGCCCACCTCGTAGAGGGCCACCAGCACTCCCCTCTGCCGCGGCCCCACCAGCTCTGACACGTAGATGCAGCAGGCCATGGAGGACAGCGAGATGGCAAAGCCGGCGGCCGAGCGGCCCAGCACCAGCCAGGGCAGGGAGCGCGCCAGGCCCAGGCTCAGGCTGCCGGCCAGCAGCACCAGGTTGCTCCCCAGGATGGCTCGTTTCCTGCCGCAGCGGTCAATGGGGAGGCCCCCCACCAGGGAGGCCAGCAGAGCGCCCAGCAGCAGGCTGCCCACCAGGAGCTCCTGCTCTGAGCAGCTCAGCCCAAAGTCAAGCTGCAGGGGCAGCAGCGCACCCGATATGACCGCCAGCTCATAGCCAAAGGTCAGGCCACCCAGCAAGGACACAGAGGCACACAGGGGCAGCGCAGGCGGGGCCCGGCCTGGAAGGCAAAAGTGAAAGGAGGGTTCAGAGGTGTCTCGCCAAAGCACCCGAGTCCAACCTCCCCTCGGGCCGCCAGCCCTCCATCCACCCCCCGCCCAGCCATCTGTCCACTCATCCAGTGTCTACCCCCCACTCGCCCAGGCACCTGCCGATTGACCCTCCCACCTGCCCACAGATCCACCCATCATCCCCCCCTCCCCTATTCCCTCTCCTCACATACCCACCCACAACCCGTCTGCCCGCCCATCCATCCACATTTATTTATCTGGCATCTGCCACATGCCAGGCCCTGTCCTTGAGGCTGGCAATCAGTGGAGTCTCCGGGGACCGAGGTGTTAGTAGAAACAGGCAGAAGATAAATAAGTTCATAATGTAACCTCAGGGTTGATAAATGTCACGGACAAAGCAGGGACACGGGCTTGGGAGTGAGAGAGGGGTATCAATTCAAATAGGGTCAGCTCAGGCCCCTCTGGGGAGGGGACATTTGAGCAGAGATCCAGATAAAGTGGGGGTGAAGGCCATGGGGAAAGTGTGGCAAACAGCAGACCAGACCGAGGGGACACAGGTCGGAAGGGCTCGAGGTGTGTTTGAGCAATTATGGATATTCACAGCTGGAACTTACCTATGACATTGGCTAAATGCCAGCCCCTGTTTCAAGAGCTGTATACACATGAGTCTCACAGTGTACCATGAGCATCCTCCTCCAGGGTGCAGAGAGGCTAAGCAGCTTTCCTACAGTCACACAGCAAGTAAGAGGCAGGGCTGAGATGGCTAGAAGATGAAGGCTTTGATCACTGGGCTAAACAGCAAGGAGGCCAGAGCGGCCCGAGCCCAGCGAGCGAGAGATGGGGCACTATGAGGGGAGAAGCAGGCAGGGCCAGACCACGTGGGGCCTTGTGGGTCACCAGGACAGGAACGGTTTCATTCTCGGTGGATGGTAGTCTCTGGTGGCTTGCGCTGGGAGTGAGGTGACCTATTTTAAATTTTACTCTTGCTGTCCTGTGCAGATGCTACCTGAGGGGGTGTAGCCACTAAGGTCCATTCACCTCTTCTTTTCCATTTTTTTTTTTATTGAGGAACCTGTAGGCCTCCCAAGTCGTTTTAATTTACATAGAAATGAGGAAAGGACACTGCAGTAAACGTTAGGAAGAAATTCCGGAGAGTTCATGGATGCATTGATAAAAGATCTGCTTCAATGTCCATCTTTTAAAAATTAGTAGATTAACAATTCCTCCTTTAAAGTAAAATAGAGATTTTTTTTCCCAAGAGTCTTACTAAGTTGCCCAGGCCGGCCTCGACCTTGCCATCCTCCTGCCCTAGCCTCCTGTGGAGCTGGGACGACAGGTTTGGGCCATGGCACTCAGCTCAAGCAGAGAATTTTCAGGGTGTGGTAAGTGAATGTAGGAAGCGGCGGGCCTGGAGGAGGTGCTGCACGTCTGTAATCCCAGCTACTAGGGAGGCAGAGGCAGGAGAAGGCAAGTCAAGGCCAGCCTGGGAACTTGGTAGAGCTCCTTTAGAGAACCTTTAAAAAAGGGGCTGGGATGTGGCTCAGTGGTAGACACCTGGGTTCAATCCCTGGTACCTCGAAACCAAACAACTCAAACCACCAGAAATCAGGAGGGCGCGAGGCAGCCAGCCCCTCATTAGGGACCCCTCAACCGCGGGGTGACTCTAATTCTTTATTTTGAATTGTGAAGCATTTAGTCCTAAATGAATTTATGTCTGAATGGACCATTGGTTAAAGATGAAAAATGAAAAAGACAAGAATCTCAAAAAGAAGAAAAATCCTGCAAATGCCCCGAAGCCCCGGGAGATAGGTGCTTCCTCTCCCGCGTGGGGCTGGACAGGCACGGATAGGAGCCCGGCTGCCGCGGGGCGCGGGTCTGTCCTGTGGCGGGCTCTGTCCTGCCTGGTGGGCTCTGTCCCGCGTGGCGGGCTCATCTTCCGTCACTGCCTCTGGCTCCCTGGCGGCCTGGGGGATCCTGGCATCTGTGCGCTGTTAAGGGCGGCCGCAGCCCCTCTGGGCACCTCACTCTGCCCTCCCCAGCTGCCTGGAGCCAAGTGCCCCCTGGGCTCAGTGTCAGTTTGCTCATGTGTAAAACGGGCACAGGACGCCCCGCTGCCCGCGACCAGAGCCCATGGGAACACGCATCCAACAGGGACGTGGAAACGCTCTGTGAACGTCACGGACTGACCCCGGGCCTCGGAGCCTGGTGCAGTGGGAGCTCCGCCGCTTGCTCTGTGCGACCTTGGGCAGGTGGCCTCCCATGACCTCCGTGTCCTCATCTTACGGGGTTAATAAATGCTTTCTCACCAGCTCTTAGGAGAGTTGGGAAGAGAAAAGCCCCTGGTGCCCAGGCAGCCGCACAGGAGGACCACCAGGCTCGCTGTCGCCACGGCTCCTTCCGCCCATCTCCAGACGCCCCTGCCCCACTTGGAAAGCCACCTGTGGGGCCTGGAGCTCATCCCCCCTCGCCCTGTGGAGCAAGGGGAGGCGGCCAAAAGCAAGGCGGGCAGCGGTTCCTGCTTGGCAGACAAGCTTTTTTTGATTTGGTACCAGGGATGATTGAACCCAGAGGCACTTCACCACTAAGCCACATCCCCAGCCGGTTTTTAATTATTTTATTTAGAGACAGGGTCTCACTAAGTTGCTGAGGCTGGCCTTGAAGCTGTGATCCTCCTGCCTCAGCCTCCCGAGCTGCTGGGATGACAGCAGGCAGAAAAGCTCTTTTAAAATGATGCATTTCTCATCCAGAGGAAAAAGAAAAACAAGCAGCAACACACACTCCCAATTGCACATGTGGAAATCAAAAATACACATCTAAAACAACGTAGCATAAAGATGAAATCAAGAGGAAATAACGACCTATTTGGAATTGAATGAGAATAAAAGGGCCACATAACAAAAACTGTGGGAGGTAATTACGGAAACTAGAACTGTTCGTCAGAACCTCCAAAATAATCGAAAATAAATGAATTCAGTCTGTGAACGAAGCAGTTAGAAAAATTAGAACGAAATGAACCCAAGGACAAGAGGAATTAATGAATATAAAAACAGATGTAATAAAACAGGAAATAAAATCAGGATAGTTAGCTGGGAGTGGTGGCGCACGCCTGTAATCCCAGCAGTTTGGGAGGCCGAGACAGGAGGATCAAGAGTTCAAAGCCAACCTCAGCAAAAGCAATCCCCTAAGCAACTCAATGAGACCTGCCTCTAAATAAAATACAAAATAGGGCTGGGGAGGGGGCTCAGTGGTCCAGTGCCCCTGAGTTCAATCCCTGGTACCCCCCACCCCCCCAAAAAAAGAAAAAATCCGAATAGTTGATCATTAAACTTTGAGTTGGTTTGGACACGGCTAAGAAAACAGGTGAGGCTCTGGGGAGTGTGACTAAGAAACTACAGCAGGAACTTCACAGGAGCAGCACGCAGGCACCCGGGAGGCCAAGGCACTGTCAACAGGTGAGGCACCAGCAGCGGCGGCGGTTGGACCGATCTTGTCCCTACAGGCTCCCCAGGTACCCACATTTAACATGGAGGGAGCGCCCTGCCTTAGGGGTCCCTGCAGTCTCCAACCACTGTCTCCCAACACGTTTGATCTGGGCTCATCCTTTATGTGTCTCTTGTGAAAACAGCATAGAGCTGAACATTTTCAAGTTCAAGTTCAGTAGAAAGGTCTTTGCTTTAAAAGAGTGAACCCCTGCTCACTTAGGACAGTTACTGATACGCTTGCACCTGCTCCTGACACTTTGGGTTTTTTTCTTTGGTACCAGGGGTTGAACCCAGGGGCGCTTCACCACTGAGCCGCATCCTCAGTCCTTTTGAGTTTAATTTTGAGACAGAACCTTGCCAAGTTGCTGAGACTGACCTCAAACTTGCAATCCTCCTGCCTCAGCATCCTCAGTGGTGGGGATGCTGGGATTACAAGCGTGTGCCACCATACCCAGCTCTGTTTCTATTCTTCTTAGAGCAGCACTTCTACTAGAGAGAAACTTCTGTCTGTCTATGGGGCAGGGCGGTGACTAACCCCATGCAGACCCTGAGTATATGAAAGGTGGCTAACGCAATGGAGGAATTCATTTTCTATTTTAATTAACTTACTTGTTAAAAACAAGCCACGTGGCTGGTGGTTACCATATTGACAGTGCAGGTGTACAGGTTACTCCTAATTTTTAAAGCACACGTTTGCGCTGACATTTTTCTAGAAGCACCTGGAGTAACCCGGCTGCAGGTCTCTCACCCAGCCCCATCAAGGCCTGATAAGAAGCGTGGTAGCACCGCAGCCAGGCTGACCCGAGGTGTTCCCCGCACCGGGTGCTGCCCTGAGTGCTAAGCTTAAGACCTTCTTTAATCCTCCCCCAGCCTTATGAGGGGTGCCTCTGAATTATCCAGGAGTGGACTAACTGGTGACCCTGGGCGGCAGTGCCTTGCCTGAGGTCAGAAGTCAGAAGGGCCAGCCTGCACCCAAGGCCGGCTCCAGCCTTACCTGAGGGGCTCCACTTCCCTGTCCCTCTCAGCTGTCGGGCACTTTTGTGCAGAGGGAGGAGTTTCACGGCGTAGGACTCAGCCCCTTCTGCTCACCCTCTCCCCTACACCCCTGCCCCCTTCCCAGGCGGCCCTTTGATAAGAGTATTTTATAAGGGACCATGTGAAGGTCAGAGAAGGTGACAAACTGTCCTCGGTCATGACAAATTGAGAGCACTGGGGCTGGACCCCAGTCCTAATTCCAGTGCATAGACAGAGCCCGCGCCCCGGACCCTGCGGCAGAAAGAGCATGCTGGGAACTCGGGGGAGGGTGGAGGCGGCTGGTGATTAGGTTGGACACACCCTGGCCTCTACCACCCAGGCCTGGCTCTGCCCACCGCAGGCACTCAGTAAATAGTTGCTGAATTAATAGGAGGGACAGGAGGGCAGGAGCCAGGGGGCGGAGCCAGGGCAGGTGTCCTGGGGAGGGCCTTGGGCTCCGGGGCAGTGTGCAGTGGATGTGAAGAGATGGACACTGAAGTCAGAGCTATGGCTGGTTGCCCGCTGTGCCCCTGCTCTGTGCATAGGAGGCTGGGTGGTGCAATGGTTAGGGGTGCAAACTGGAGCCAGGCTGCTGGGGTTCTACCCCAGCTTCTCTTCTCCATAGCTGTGTGACCCTGGGCAACGCACCTCCCCTCTCTGAGCCTCCTCTATCTACATAGGATACAATACCTATCATGCCTGCCGACCTCAGAGCCTCAGCCTCCATTGAACAACTTAGAGTGTGATTTTAAGAGAGAATTCATGTCATGTCCCCTGCCCCAGCTTAAAACCCTCCTCCAGCTTCCCATGCCATCTGCAATAAAATCCCAACTTCCCCATGGGGCACTGGCCCTGCACTCCTGGCCCTGCTCACCCTCTGACATCCTCTCACCCCTTCCCTTCCTGTCCACTGCGCTCCAGCCACACTGGCCTGAGCCACACCAGCCCTTTCCTGCCTCAGGGCCTTTGATGTTCCTGCCACAGGGAAGCTCTTCCTCCAAATCTCAGGCCTCCTCCAAGGTCTCAGCTCCAAGGCCTCCAGCCCTGGACGCCTCATTTTCTGCTGCCCACGGCATCTTATTTATCCAGCTCCTCAACCAAAGGTCCACTCCAGGAGAGAGGGCTTTGTCCGTTTTGTTCCCTGGGAATGGCCAGCCCCTATGCCTGGGCACACAGTACATGCTCACTAAAAAGCCAACGATGGCTGACCTTCCAACCTTCTGAACACAGAGGAGACCCTAGGATCAGGCCCCCTTAGCCCTGTTGTGGGCTCTCCTCCTCTCCTCTCCACTGAGCCAGGTCAGGGCAGGACCCCCAGCCCGGGAGTAGTGTCCAGCACAGGGGTGCTCCGGGAACTGACCAATGACTTTCTCCTTCAGAAGGAGACGATACCTTGCCTGGGTGACCAGGCCTGTCGGAGGAGTGCCCGGCCGTGGGCGCCGGTGTCACGGCAGGAGCACCCCCAGCCACTCCCCCTCCCTCAGAAGAAAGGAGGATGGGAGGAAGCGCGCCAAGGCCCCTGCGCAGTCCCCAGCCACCGGCCTGCTGTCCAGCGGGCGGCCACCGGGGGGACGACCCCGGGAGGGTCGGGGCCACCCGGAGGACCGAAGGGGGGTGCGTGGGGGGGAGGTGGCGCGGCGACGAGGTGCACAGTGTCCCGCTGCAGCCTGATCGCGACTTACCCATGGCGATCGGGACTCGGCGGGCGAGCTGGGGACGCTGGGGGCCGCGCGCGTGACCCCGGGACCCAAGTCCCCGGCGCCGCCGCCGCCGCGCAACAAACTTTCCGGCCGCTTTGGGCCGCGTCCCGCCCTCTCCCCACCCAGCGCCACCGCCACGTCGCCCGGCCCAGGCCCCCCAGCCTGGAGGCGGGACTGAGGGGAGCTTGGGACCGCCCCCGCCTCCAGGGCCAGGCTGGGGACCGCCCCGCTGGCCTCCCTGGGTCCCCATCCTGAGTCCTCCCCGGGGGAAGACCCTCCTGGCAGCGTCTTGCCGGGCTTTCTCCGCCAACAGGAGATCCCCGGGTACTGCCGTCCACCCTTGACGGCGCCTGCACTGACCCCGACCCTCACACACCACGTGGGACCCCACCAGTCATCCCACACTGAGGTTGGACACCCATCACCCCGTGCCCGGCCCACGAGGCTTGGGGTGGGCTGGTGAACCCCGTAGGCCATTGTTTGTTCTTAAGGAGCTTGCATTCTAGGGACCCACGAGAAAGAACTGAACACGCCAGAGAGAAACAGCTCCGATGGAGGCTGCGCAGAGTTGAAGACGGCGGCCATGGCCACGGCACCCGAGATTCAGCTGAAGGAGGGGCTGTTTGAGCTGAGGCCTGTTGGTCCGCGTGGAGGCAACACTGGTGGCTTTCTCATAGTTCTGGCGATCAGAAGTCTCCAGCGGGTCTCACTGGGGAAGTGGAGGGGTCAGCCAGGCTGCCTTCCTTTCTGAGGTTCTGGGGAGAACCCATTTCCTTGGCTTTTCTAGTCTCTAGACCTGGAGGAGCCCCTAGCATACAGTAGGCACTCTGCAGAGGCGCACAGAGTTGACGACTGCATGTAGGAATGGACAATGCCCTCCCCGGGTGGGGTCTGGCCGCTCAGTTCCCTAGCAGCTGCCCGCTGGCCCCTGGCTCACAGATGCTGCAGCATCCCAGGCCCAGCCAGGGAGGCTCGGTTTTGAGCCTCTGGGGAGCTCCCTCTGGAAAGAGAAACTTTATATTTAAGAAAGAAAACTGTGAGAATTTGAGCGGAGGCTTCCCAGCCACCTTGTCTGAGTGGGAGCCCTGCATGGAGGAAACAGAACAAGACTTCTGAGCCCATTTGAGTCTGGACACCTCCGTGCCTTAACGCCTGGGATCCAATGCATTTCTTTTTTGCTTAAGTCACTTTGAGTTGAGTCTCTGGGGCTCACAGCTCTGAGCATCTTCACTCCAGGGCGAGAGACATGTCAGACAGAGGAGCCTTAGACACACCAGAGGCCCCTGCAGACCTTGGGAAATAAGTAAATATTGTTATGTGTCCCTGATGGTTGTTGTTTATTATGTGGCTATTTTTTAACCAGAGCTGACTACTACAAATAGAGGGAGACAAATGGAAGCTGTCTGGCACATCATCACCTCTTTCCAATGACCCCTTCAGGTTCCCAGGCTCTGCCGCTTCTGGGAAGTGCTTGGGACACATGGGAACCTTTGCTGAGGTTGCCTGCGTCCAGTGCCCCTAGTTTGATACAGACACAAATGGCTTCTGAGTTGTATCCAGTTTGTAAGATAATTTTGCCAAACTTCTTGTTTTTTTTAGAAAAATATCATATTACTTGCCTTCATTAAAAAAAAAAAAAAATCAGGAAAGCTCACTTTCCCACCTTAGCCCTGGCCCCACATCCCTACCTGGCCATGCCCTGCTGGGCTGTGTCCCCCCGTCCCGTGAGGCTCACCAGTGATTGCCAAACTTTTTCGGCTGAGGTCTAGATAGCAGCCATTTCAGGCTTTGCTGACCATACCATCCTCCCTGGGACAACTGCCCAACCCCACTGTCTAGGCAGAAGCAACTGGTGGACAAAATGTAACTAAATGGGCGTGATTGGGGTCCCATAAAACTTTCTGGACAGAACAGGCAGCCATCTGTAGCTTGCTGACTGTGCGGTCTCCATATTCTTCAGTGTGCCGCAGTCCCGCCGCCCCACTTTGCCTTATGCCCACTCACTGCATTTACAACGCCTGTGTGAGCTCCCACATTCGGGATCCACAGCCCCAGTGCATGTTCTTGGTAAGAGTACATGTTGGGGGCAAAACCCAGGAAGTCTGGCAAGCTGACTGCCTGGGTGGACGAGAGGAGGACTCAAATCCTCCAATGATTATTACAAAGCGACACTGCGGTCTAGGCATCATTCCAGATGTCTATCCTGAACCAGAGTGCTGGGGCTACTGGAGAAAATAAAGGGAGTTTTTAAAACCTTCCACAAACAGAGGCTCATTTTAGCAAGAAAAACACAATAAACAAGAAAGATATATAGTGTGTTAGATAATGGTTAAGTGCTTTATCTTGATGTGATGATAATGGCTTCACAAGTGTATATGTAGGTGAAAATCTGCCAAATCCTTCAAATATGTACAGTTTATTGTAGGTCAATTATATTTTAATAAAGACTTTTTAAAACAGACAGCTCCTAGCTGTCTGTTCTGTATTCCAGGAGTTTATAGACATTTCTCTTTAGAGACACAATGTATCTAAAAAGATATCAAAATGTGACTAGGGTTTTGCTTCTTTAAGTCTTGTTTGGAAAATGTACTACTTTAACATCTGGTGTTCTTTATGGATGTGTAGGAGCTGAGCACTGTGACCCACACCTGTAATCCCAGTGACTGGGGGGACTGGGGCAGGAGGATTTCGAGTTCAAGGCCAGCCTGGACAACTTAGTGAGAGCAGATCTCAACAAAATAAAAGCAAAAAGAGCTGTGAATGTAGCTCAGTGGTGGAATGCCCCTGGGCTCAATTCCCAGTACCAAAATTGATTAATTAATAATGTAAAAAGCAGGCAGTGTATCAGTTGATGATAAGAGCAATCAATTAAGATAAGGAGAGGGGATTTTATGAAGGAAGGCTGGGAGGGAGATATAGATGGTTATAAAGAAAGAAAAAAGAAGATAGAGGGGCTGGGGCTCAGTGGCAGAGCGCTCACCTGGCACGCATGAGGCACTGGGTTCCATCCTCAGCACCACATAAAAATAAAATAAAGGTACTGTGTCCACCTACAACTAAATATTATATATATATATATATATATATATATATATATATATATATATATATAGAGAGAGAGAGAGAGAGAGAGAGAGAGAGAGAGAGGAGAGAACCAGTAATCAAGATCTCCAAGTATAACCCAGGTACAAAGCAGCTCTTCAAGTGCTGGTTCCGCCCCTTCCTCTAGCCCAGCCACCCCTACAGCATGCCCTCCTCCACTCCCCCTACTAAAATCCAGAGCAGCCCCACCCCCTGCCACAGAATCCCAGCCTGGACCCTCCTCCTGGGTCTCTGCTTCCATCTGTCTCTTCTGATCCATCTTCCCAGAGCTGCCTGATGTCCTTCCAGGAAGGCCACCAGAGTTAGCACAGACGACAACAAATAGTATGCCCAGCCAAATGTCAATCTCAGAGAAACATCAACCAATTCTGTAGCAAAAGTGGGTCTGGTGTTGCTGCTCTGAAATTCACATTTAACTAGGCCCCCTTTATTCACCTGGCAACCCTGAATTCTAACCACGTCACTCACCTGGGGAAATCAACTTGGGTTCTGAAGTTGTCTACCTGACGACAGTTCAAAAAAGTGGCTTTGTAAAGGGAATGTGGATCATAGAGACTCTTTCTCCACAGGACAGCCCAAGTGAATGAATGGGTTTTTATAGTAAGAGGTTTACAACTCAGAACACCAGTCAGAAGAGTTTTTAAGCAAAGTCTGCCAAGATCACTTGAAATAAAAGTCACTATGATCCCGGCTGATAGCTCAGCTCCTGACAATTAACTGCTCACAGGTCCCAGGAGAGATTCTGGCCGCCTCCAAGCCTTAATAGGGGCAGATCAGCCCCCACCATCATCTGTGCAGACATATCCAGTCTTGTGGTGGGACTGGGGGACATTGAAGGAGGGGCTGAGCCAGGGCGGTTCAGGGCTGGTCCCCGGCCTTGCGCAGGGCCCTCACGTGTTCTAATCTTGTTCCTTCCTACCTCGACGTCTCTCCTGTGTCTCATTAAATCTCCTACTATTATAAGGAGGCTGGGCCGTCTCTCAGTACCAAAGCCTCAATGTACACGCTCCCTGAAGGAGGGCTCCTGTGGATGGCTTGCAGTCATCTTGCAGTTTTGCTGTCTTTTGGCAACCTGCAAGCCTCAGGCGAGGACTTGCCCCAGGATGCGGGTGGCTCCTAGCTGTCCGTTCTGTATTCCAGGAATTTATAGACATTTCTCTTTGGAGACTCAGCCATCTCTTTGAATCTCTAAATTCCAATCTCAGGACCACCCCCTGGAGCCATCTAGGTGGCCTCTGTTAGCCTGGCTTCCTCACAGCATGGAGTCTGAGGATGCCAGTGTCCCAGTGTCCTAGCCTCAGTAGTCACCCGGTGCTACTCGGCCACCCACTGGGCGAAGCAGCCACAAGCCCACTTTGATTTCAAAGGAGGGAACAAAGAATTTGGGGACCATGTTGTCCTTGTGTTCCAGCTGTTATCGTCAGAACTCACTGATGGTCTTTTCCATGCTGTTTCTTTGCCAAAATACCAGTTTGTGTCCTTGTGTCCTTGGCACGTGGTCCCTGCGGGAGAGTGCATGTACCCACCGGTAGGCTGGGGTTAGTGTGAGTTGGGCCACATGCTCTGAGAGTCTGGAGAAGTCTGTGCCCACTTGAGGGCTAAGCCTGTGTGTATGTTTTGACTGAGTGACAATTGGTGGCATTGTTCCCAGTCTGCCTCCTTTCCAGGACTCAGGCTCACATCCAGCTGCTCACCTGTTTTCCACGTGGATGCCCAGGGCCACACAGCCTCAAATGGGCGATGCCTCAAGGCCCCCGAGCTGACGCAGAGCTCTGGGTCTCCCTTCCCAGCCCCCAGCTGCTGCCCTCCTGTGCCGCAGTCCTCAGGGAGTCTGTCTTCTCTGCCAGATGTCCTGAGTGCACTCCACCTGAGCGGAGCCGAGCTCTCCTCTTGCCTGGCAACAGCCCCTTCTCTGCTCCTGACCCTGCCCTTGCTCCCAGAAGCCTGCTAGAGCTCCTGCTATTTCAATGTTAACTGGGATGAAATCCATCCTCCCTCCTGATCCCTCCCAAGGCCTAGACTGGAGACGCCTCTCCCTCCCTCCCTCCGCTCTGCTCATCGCACCCGGGCTCCTGAGCTCCAGCTTGATCCCTGCTTTTCTTTGTGCCCCACAAGCCAGTTCCCACCTCAGGACTATTGCCTTAAGCCCCTGGGTAGGTGGGGACTTGTTCCAGCAACTACAGGAAACTAATACAAAGGGTCTGTCCCACGTGCTGAGGTGCGGACATGAGGTGAGCCCCTGGGTCTTGCTGTGCCTAAAATAAATTCCAGTTTGTGTTTAAACTTGTTTTTGTCACTTGCCACCAACACAGTCATGAATAATGCACAATGCGTCCCTGGGAACAGAAGTATCAGTGCCGGGCTGGCCCCTCTTG